CTGGGCCTCGGAACATATCTCTCAGGGTAACTGTGAGCACACCCCTGCTAGGCTGTACCTATCACTGCTGAGTATGGGAGCCAGGGTTGGGAGGGGGCCAGGCTGGACAGGGAGGGCAGTGACACCTTTCAGTTCACATGAGAGATGGGGCTGGGGACAAAACTGACCAGTAAGCTGCAGCCACTGATACGTGCATTGCCTGGTGCAGGTGACAGACAAAACCTGACCATGCACTGACTGGCACACAAAGAGTTAATTCTGAGGTCACCTCAGTTGAGGTTTCTTGGGGAACTCCCCAACTAGACTGCTGAACTCAGACCCCAGTTACAGAGAAGATCACGGAACATATGGTTTAACCTTGAAGTGCATGTATCAGGGCTGGGTTTCCTCAGTTGCTGACGCCTGTGCAATGGACAGCAAACCCTGATGCACATGGGGGCCATAATGGTCAGCTTATCTAGGCCAGTGGGGGATGTTGACTGCCTAGTCAGAGGATGGAAAGCAGAACCTGGCCAAGCTATGCATTATATTCATGGGTCGGAGGAAGTGTTGAGGTGACTTTGTCAAACAATAGACCTGAAAGATTTTCGCAACCCTGGAGCAATGAAAACAAAGACTTCTCAATACTATCAAAACCACTCAAGTAACACTAAGGTGTTATCAGATAACTGTCCTTTATCTTTGGATGCTGATGTAGTTTGGCAGTAAGGAGCAGCCCCTTCCTGCTCCTCCTTCCTGGACACAGGTGAAAAACAAACAAATATATGTCCCACTCACCTTCCTTTATAATTGAACCTCCCCAGTCTGATTGGAGGCCCATGTGGGTGTGCATTCCTTTAAACTATGTAAGCAATATTAAAAATAAAATAAAATAAGATAAAATAAAATAAAATAGAGCTCCCAATGAGACTACTGGTGCAGGCAGGAAAGAGAATTTAATTAGCATGAATGGAGACTATGGTAACTTACATGTGCTTTCAGGTTCTGATCTCATGTATACCACTCCTACTGGGTAATGGAATGTTGCTCTATACACCAAATAATATGAGTTAGTGGGTCAGATAAGAGCCAGTGCATGGACATCTATGATTATCTGGTAACTTTGTGATTCATGAATAAGTAGTTTCAAGAAAGACTCAGGAGCAGGCCATGTCTTTTTTTCCAAAAGACAGCAGCTGTCTAAAAGTGGGTGAAAGTGGTTTGCTTCGAATTCTAAGGGCCTGCTTTGTGACTCACTTTCGAAAGTTTCCAGACACCATTCTTACCTACTTGTTTACACATCAAGCACTATTAGATATGCTTAAACATGTAGTCTGTGATATGGTTTGAATATCCCTTCCAAAATTTTGGAAACTGAATTGCTATTTTGGCAGTTTTAAGACATGTGATATTTAAGAAGTAATCAATGCTATTTTTCCTGAAACTGGGTTATTGCAGGAGCAAGATCCTGATAAAGAAGAAAGTCAACTACCTTTATCTTTCTGTCTCAGAGGTTTGATTATTTTTCCACCTTGAAATGATGAAGGATAAAGGCCCTTACCAGAGGCTGGTACCATGCTTTTGAGCATCTAATCTCCAGAACTGTGAGCCAAATAAACTTCTATTGGCTACAGTTTAGTCTCTGGGATTCGATAACAGTGTCAGAAAATAGCTGAAGGCAATCTGAGCGGCAGGGGAATCCTACCAAAATTACCAGCATTTCTGATCATCCAGAGAGCAGGCTGGAATAACATAATGTAAATATTGCTTTCCAAATTCACAGAAACCCACTAGGCAACATAGCTCTTTATTTTGTTTGTGACAGAGGCCAGATACAGTTTATCTTTTATCATAGCAAGGGATAAGTCAACATGCACCATGTCTCTGGATTACTGGAAATTGTACTTGGGCAGATGGACTCAGATTCCTTTTGTTTTTGCTGTTCTCTTCTGTAGGGGTCCCTGATGTTTTGCTGTATCTCTCACCTCTGCCATGGAGGCGATCACACCCATGCATCTTGGGTAGGTACTACTAGGGCTCACTAGATTCAATCAGCATGTCCTCAACTTAAGCCATCGGTGTGATGTTTTATGGAATGGAAAAGCAACCAAGGTCCCTGAGAGCAAAAGCATGACACTGGGTTGGAGGGCTGATAGGCTCCCAAGCTGTGGCCGTGAAGATATCTGCCAGCTTCATCAATTGAAAGCAAACTGCATCTGGTGCTCATTCTTTGCTTTGGCAGAAAAAGCATTTTTCAGTGACCAGATATCAGGAGTCAGTGCTACATTCCTCTGTCATTGAAATCACATTATATCTGACAGTTGCAGTTGGAGTTACCACCTAGCTAAATTTATGATAATCTACTGTCACTTTACAAGGTTCGTCTGTCTTCTGCACAGGTTAACTAGGTGAACTAAATAAGCATGTGGTGGGAACTATCAATTTTGCATCGTCCAAGTCCTTGAAATGGGGGGATTAGTTTCTACAATCTTGATAAATGCAACAATCATTTAGTTTATTACTTTCTCTATTTTTAGGATTTTTACTTTTCATTTATTTGAAAGGCAGAGTTAGAGGCAGAATCTTTGTTGTTGTTGTTGTAAACAGAAAAGTTCATTTGCGAAGGGACCAGGGGAGCAGGCAAGGGAAGGAAGGGGAAGCACCTCCGGAAAGGAAGCCGGGAGGCGGGGTGCCTCTTGATAGAGGAGGGAGAGAGAGAGAGAGAGAGACACCCGAGGCAGAAGCTTCTGTTCACTGTCAGGTGTGGTATTTCACCCCTTAAGTGGTTGAAATGGCGTAGCTTAAAGCTGGGAGCCATATGCTTTTTCCTGCTTTACCATGTGTGGGCAAGGCCCCAAGCACTTGGGCCATCTTATGCTTTCACTGGGCTTAGCAGGGAGCTGGATGAGAAATGGAATAGCTATGGATCAAATTGGCACCCATACTGGATGCCAGCATGCTAATCAGTGATTTGTCTCATTTTGGCATACTAACACTGTTCCCTTTGGTATGCATTCTTGTAATTTTTTAAATAAATATTTTTAATCTTTATTTGAAACGTAGATTGACAGAGAGGAGACAGGGAGAGGGAGGGAGGAAGGGAGAGAGAAAAGAAAGAGAAGTATCTTGCATCTTCTGTCTCATTTCTCTAAGTGGTTGCAGCAGTTAGAACTGAGCCTTTTCAAAGCCAGGAGCCAGGAGCCTCTTCCGGGGCTCCTATATGGGAGCAAAAATCCTTGGGCTCTGTCTCAAGTATACATTATTCTCCTTCTTTCTCTAATTTAAAACAGTGAGCTGGATGGGAAGTGGAGCAGCTGGGACTTGAACTGGATTCCACTGCATGCAGGTCAAGGATTAAGCTACTAGGCCACTGTGCCAGACCTTCAGGTATACATTCTTACTGTGCTCCCTGAATTCTTGCTTGTATAACTGAAAAAACTTGATTATTTGGAGTGGAATATTCCAAGTTATGGGCCACACTTTTGTGTCTCGTCTGTAGATTGCACGCCCAGTTTTGAGAACAGTGGTTAGGGTCCTGAGAAAAATTAGCAGCAGAGACGTTCTGGATTCAGAGAGCCACCTCAATGGAGAGTTATAATGAGAAAGCAGTAGAGAAGTAACTAGGAATTGAAAAAACTGATTTCTACTATGAATCATACGTTATAGTTTCTTCATTCTGTTGTAACAAATACCACACCTGACAACAGAAAGGTATTGTCTCTCAGTTGTATGACAAACAAGTGTTAAGACCAAAGTTTCAGACAGCTGATGCTTCTGAGTGCTGTTCCATGCCCGTGTCCTAGCTTTGGCTTGTTTGTTACAGGCTACCTTCCACGTTCCTTGGCTTTTGCTGCCATCATCCTCATCTCTGCTATTGTCTGCAGACAGGGTTGTTTCACGCTCTTCCCTTTTTATGAGGATCCAGTAATATTTAAACAGGGATTCACCCCTTAATTACATCTGCTGCAACTCTTGACTCCACATGACACATTCTGAAATACTAGACCAGGATTTCTGATAGAAGAAATTAAGTAGTACATAGAGATTGTGATATGAGCATGTCATGATACTCATCTCAGTTGAATTTTTTTTGCACATAGCGAGATACATTTTGTCACTATTTAACACTTTGGAAACTTGCATCTCACACCAGAGAATGTGGGATCAAGTCCCAACTATATTTCCAATCCACCTTCCTGCTAAGGAACCTGAAAGGTAGCAGATGATGCCCTGAGTACTGGGGCTGCTGACACCCACCTGGGAGACCCAGCAGATTGTCTCCTGTCTTTGGCCTGGTCCAGCCCTAGTTGTTGCCTGTACCAGTGGGAATGAACCAGCCTGTGTTTTCTCAGCCTTAAAAAACAGCAAAGAAGCTGGCTAAGACTGATTTGCCTCTTGTCATTGCTTGAGTCCTGGTTACTGAGTTTTGGATCTCAGGTCAGGATTCCATGCTGACGAACCAAGGAAGCAGTGTGACTGTTGAACTACTTCAACTCTGGCTACCCTTTTAGGAGACTAGCTGGAGTTTTTGGCTTAATTCTGAGCCAGCCCGAGCTGTTGGAACCTTTTGGGGAGTGAATGGAAGATCATCACGCTTGCCATTCCATCTCCTAAGTAACTTATTTCCTCTGCAACCTCCTGTCCTCAATTGGGCAGGAACAGGAATTTTTATAAAAATTTCGAATTAACAAAAACAAAATCCACCAAAATTCTAAGGGTTAACTTTCATGCATTCGTTTGGTCCCAACTGGTAAATGAGAATACAGATTTTCCAGTAAGATTACCAGATGCAAATGATAACAATTATTTCTTAGTAGAAAACTAAACTGATTATATTTCATGACTACTTTTATGCTTTTTAGGATTTATTTAATAAAATGCTTTTATATTACATATTAAGGATTAAACTATAAAAGGGGGGCACAACTAAGAGGAAAACCAAACAATAAAATTCTGCTGACCTTTTAGAATAAAATGTATTTGTCATTGATATGAAAATAAATTGTGCTTTCAAAAACAAACATTTTTTGAAATTTATTTCTAAAAGTCAAACCTTAAAAAAGCAACATGTTTATACTAAGGATACATGCATGAGCAAAAAAAAAAAAAGCACGGGAATACAAAAGTGAACATAGTAAACTTTTAATTAATACAGTATTCTGGATACAAGTAGAATACTACTAGATAAGAACTGTATTTACTTCTGGAATCTATGGTTATAGACTGAGATAAACCAAGGTTTAGGATAGCCACTTCACTATTCACATTTTGATCAGTGCTGAGCAGAAGCTAAAGAAAATTTTAGGCCAAGACTTCCAATGATATTATAGAATCAACCTCTTATGTAAATGCATCAAGTTCGCATGTTTTCATGTGAGCCTGTTCTCACTGAAAAACAGTCAGGGCAGGTCAAACCATGGAGCCCTTACAGAGACTAAGCACCGGGTGAGGAATTGTCTGTGGCTTTTGCTTTGGACCACTTTCAACTTTATTTTACTTAAATGTGTTTTTCATTAATATTCACATACAAACTCTTGCAGGCAAAATGAACTATTCAGCCTGGAGATCTTGCCAACAGTGTCTATGATTGCTTTAAAGCAATTAATACTTCACAACAATCCCAAGCTGACATTTAATTAGTTATAATGGTTAAGATGCAGAACTTTTTAAGTTTTCTGGTCCCAGAAATTTCAGAAGGGCCAAATGCATTAAACTCAAAGGAGCATTTGTTTTATTTGAAAACAAAGCAAAAAGAAACATTAATCGTAGATGATAACGGATAAAGTAGCTATAAAGGCTCTCATACACAATCACCCTGTACAAGATGATTACAGCGTCCTCCAGGCTTGCTCTACGCCCACAAAATCAGAAAGAAACCAACAAGAAGGTTAACATTTCAACAAACCAGGAACTATTTACTGTAAGCATATATGAACTTCTGGAAGACATACTATCAAACTTGGAGAAAACACTATTAACAGGTAAGCATGTATTGAAGAAGGCAGTTTATAAATCAAACATTACAAAGCTTATGTTTATGCGTACAACTTACAAAATAGAAAAAGCTATTTTTCCAATAGTATAGCATCACACTAACACTATATTGTTAAGAAGGCTTCTGTACATGTTTACTGTATCTCCAAAGCAGCATATGCCTCAGACTTTCTCATTTATTATTTAACTTATGCCAATCAGTTTCTTGGACTTATACCAGTTTGAGCAGGCTAAAGCAATCTTTCTGCTTTATTTAACTATGAGACAAAGCTAACCAGTTTTAGGGAACCAGCCTCATAATCAGTAAAGAGAAAATATTATACCCTCGCAAGATGGAACACTCTTAAGGACATGATAGAATCCAACAGCCAAAAGGCTATGCCCCTAGACAAGAGTCCAGGAGGAAATATTTAGGAGCCTGGAATTACACATTGTTACATGAGACCTAAATGATTAGCTCGCCAGTAACTATTAGAAATTCAAACACAACTTACGGATATTTCTCTAGTGCAACATCATCCAGCTTACTGCTTAGAACTACTAAAAGCTGACCTGCCACTACATGTTTGTGGTTAGTGCAAATTAAAACCAACACAATTCGGAGCAGGCTGAATCGTGGAATTCCAAGGAATTAAATGATTAACTTATTTCTGAATTCTGAAAATAGTGCTACTAAACTCAATTATTTCCCTAGCCATTTAGATTGTCTACCGTCTTAGACAATTAAAGTGAAATATGGTTGCCTGCAAATTCCTTCTTAGAGGAAATAATAGCAAAACACATTTTGGTTGAACTTTGCTGCTGGTCTCCTTATGCACTGCTTTACTAATGAGAGCACTACTGGAGGCATTTATTATGCTAACTGTAACATAACCAAAGCAAGAAAAGTCATAGTTAAAACTCTGACAAACGATTTTCTTGGGGTAGGCTTACTTTTTTAAGTGAAAATAAATCAAAATCTAAAATCACATGGCCATTTTTGACAACAATCCTTTTCTTACTTTTGTTTAATTCCCAAGTCACACGGGATATCCTTTCTTGGAGCTCTGTAATGGGAATATATTTTATAAAAAACTTCAAAGTAAGTGGTTTGAAAGAATTTAAGATTTTCAGTTAAAGCACTAGCCCAAGTTCTCAGCCGTTACATTTTTAAAATACAACTTAGGTTTGTGACAGACAACATTTAGCTGGGCTAAGCTATTCTGATAACCTTACAGCTTGAGGTTCAGACAGATCATTTCCTGACCAGGGTTGACCTTTAATTGTCCTCACCCAGACAGCTATGCAAGCATACTGTCTGAATGCCACTACTCTTTAGAATTTCTAGGTAATTCTTTACCATCCATGCTTAAAAACCTTATACCACCAGGCACAAAACAGATAAAAGTGGAAGCAACCTTGTTTCTAATCTACCTCTCTAAATAAACTTAAAAAAAAAAATCTTAAGGAAAACTTAATATTTAAATAGTAATTTCTTTATGATCTGTTTGGTCAGCCAAAAAGTAGCAATCCTCAATAAAAAGGAAACTTAACCATAAATTATCTAGCTTATTAAATTAAATGCCAAAGCCTTTCAACACTAAGATATAAAGAAAAGTTCGTAAATTCAAGATGATGCTCAAAATGAAACTATGGTTCAAAAATGGGTTCATTGTGAGACTAAAATCTTGTCACTGCTAAATTCCCTACAGCTTTTGGCACTGACATTAAAAAGAAAAAAAAAATTCAGTCTTTTGGTCATTTGAAGCTACTAAATAATCTAGGCATTTAAAAGGGAGAAAAAAAAAAAGACAGTGAGGAACTGAAGGCTAATTAAGGCAACTACCTCAGATACAAGTAAAACAGTTGAAATAAAATCATTTCTGCTAGGAAGCTGAAGAGAAATAACAGTTTCCTTTCACCCCTTCCTGTTGGAAGAGGATCCTCTAATCAGAAATAATTCCTCTAAGTTACTGAATGGTGTTGCCTGGCAGCGACTTCAATTTCCTACACTGGTCTTCAACCCAAGTAATTAAGTAATCTCATAAGGAATAATCATACATGGCAACAGGGTAAGAAAGCAGGGCAGCTCTTCCATGCAAACATTTCAGGACAAAAGCCATCAATTTTAAAGATAACCATCAGGTTTCAGGAATCCTAGCACACTCTAAAGCCAAGTTTTGCTTTATACCATCGGTGACTAAAATGAACAAGTTTTGCAGTGAGATTTTTGTTTTTTTGCCTGCAACTATATACACATTGCAAAACTATTCTGCATCACATGATTTCAAATGAAATAAATATAAAAAATGAACCACACAATCAACACATAACTTTAATACTCCACATTATTTATCTTGATCACAATAGTGGAACCTCCTTGTCAACACTCTTGTGAGTTGAGGAGCTGATTTTCGTTCTCATATCCATCGGGCAGATACGCTCTCCTCAGCTGGTCTGACTTAGGTATGGAGCCTCCGTTCTTCACGTGGCGAGACAGGAAAGCACGCACGGCTGGGTGATCGGCCTTCTCGAGCGGGATGTTGGCTTCCAGGCACATTTTCACAAAGTCCTGGATAACACTGACTTTCTCTGTCTGCGCAGTACTGTTGCACTGCAGAGATGCAGTCAGCGGCCGCTGCTTCTTCCTCACGTTTTGCTCTTCAAATTCTGCCTTCCTCTTGGTATGAGTCTTTGACTTGAGGTGGTCACTAATGGCAGACTTGCGAACATGATTCAGAACCACATTGCAGGAAGTGCAGAAGAGTTTACCGCCATCTTCATGCAGCTCCCCTCCGAACTCAGTGACTCGATCCAGGGGAGTCACATACAAAGCAGTCTTAGACCGGTTCCGAGCAGGTGGTGCTGTTACTACAAATCTCTCCATTTTGACTCTCAATATGGTTCTTTCAAAAGAGAAACAAAGAATGACAAGTTCATTCTGGAGGTGATACAAGAAGCGTTAGGTATATAAACATTTGATGATTAAAGATTAATTCAACTCAGACTGTGTGTACATTAATCCCAACTTACCTGAAATATGTGAAAGGAAAACAAAACTACAGTAAGTTTTTATTGACAGGAAGGCCCATTCCTTCATTTCTATTCCATAAAATTCAAGTAAAATTACAACTATGGCAAAAGAACTAAAACTATCTCAGACATCACTGTCTCAGGAAAAGTTAGTCACAGGCCCACACTTTAGAGCACCAATTATGTTACACGGTGGCTCAACTGGCTAGTCCTCCCACTTTAAGCACCAGGATTCCATAGGGGCACCAGTTTGTGTCCCAGCTGTAATCATTTCCCACCCAGCTCCCTCCTTTGGCCTAGGAAAGCAGTGAAGACGGCCCAAGCCTTAGGACCCTGAGCCCACGTGGGAGAAGCAGAAGGTGCTGGCTCCTGGCTTCAGACCAGTTCACCTCTGGCCAGAGGCCACTTAGGGAGTGAACCTGCAGACGGAATATCTTTCTGTATCTCCTCTGTAAATCTGCCTTTCCAATTGAGGGAAAAAAAAGTTGGCCTCTGCAACCACACGGGAAACCGAATTCTAGTGCCCTGCTTTGGCCTTGCCCAGTACGGGCAACTCCAGCCATTTGGGAAGTGAAACAGCAGATCTCTCCCTCTGCAACTCTGACTTTCAAAGAAATAAATACTTTAAAATGTTGGTGTTTTTTTTTTTTTTTGCGATTTGCTCAACTTCAAGATGAAATTATGGTCTGTGTAAATGACAGGAAAAAAAAAAGCCTCATTTTTAGGTGTGCTAAAACTATGCTTTGTATCAGAAACAATGGGGGACTCCAGTTATCCACAGCAGAGAAGTAACAGCCGGGCAACACTAAAATATTTATCAAAAGAAGCTTACGTCGTCAATGTGTCTAGCTCTGGCGATGCCCAAGAATCCCTCTAGACATTTAATTCACAGATATTCTGCAAATTGCAGGTTTTAATAAACCTAATTTCATTTTTTTTCCCCATCAACATTTTTTTCTTCTATCACTCTCATTTGCCAAACATTGTTAGGCAATACAATGGCAGTGTGATTCCTGCCTAAAACTTAATTCCTACACATCTGTACTTTTAAGTTGATGGTTATGTACTTTATACTCCAAAAAAAATTCACCTCAATTACAATTACTGTTTCTAAAGTAGTTATGAAAAACGTGAAACTTATGCTAAGTAAAATGTCTTCTTCCACCTTAGAGATTTGGATTTCAACGTTTAAAAAAAATAAAGCAGCCCACAATTCTTTGCAGGGCAAAACGTCCAACCACTGCGCAAATGCGAAAGGCCCACATTTTCCAATGTCTCCTAGCTTTCAAAAAGTCTATTTGTGTTACTGCAGAGGTAAATCATTCACCCAGTGGAGGATGTTTGAGTTTACGAATCCGGAGAACAAAAGTATTTTCAAGGGATGTATTTTAAACAGATGAGAAAGTTATAAAGTTAAGTAATTGGCCAACAAAAGCGTCAAGTAATTTACTAGACCAAATAAAAGTCGCCCAAAGTGTTCAAGTTTAGATGTTTACCGGGTTAGTTTCCAGTTTTTTTCCTCTTGGTACTCAGCAGTGACTGGTCTCCCGCACAAGGCCAGAGAGGCATCAAACCCTGGCCCTTGCCGTCTGTTCAAACGCGGAGGATGCCTTCGATCAGTTTTTCAACAAGTGGTGGTGGGGAAAGAGTTTCTGGGCTTGTACCCTGCTTCCCCTGAGGTGCCAGGAAGTCATGCCTTTACTGCAAAACAAGAAATACAAATGGGAGGGGAAAAAAATGGAGGAAGAGGAGGGCGAGGGGGACGAGGGGGGCGGACGGACACACGAACGCGTTTGTCCAGCGCGACTCCCAGGCAGGTGTCTCTAAGAAGTGCACTCTGCAGACAGCTCGGCCCCAGCAGGCCGACGGCGCCGTCCGCCCTCCCGCGGCGGCCCAGGCCCGGGGCTCGGGCGAGGCGCGGGACCCGGCTGGCGTGTCGCCCGCCTCCCCCGCGCGCCCCGCGGCCTCGACCCCGCCGCCAGCCGCGGGCCCCGGGCGCTCGGCCGTCCCCGGGGAGCCGGCCGCTGTCAGGCTTCCCGTCTCCTCCCTCTCCCTTCCCCGCCCCCGGCTCCCCCGCTCCGGGACGCCAGGCCCCGGGCCCACAGCCCGCACCAACGGCCGGGCCCACCACCCTCGGCCTCCCCAGCTCCTCGGTACCGTCGGGTTGGGGGCCGCTGTTAGGGGAAGTGGACGAGGTCCGGCCAGAAAGGAGGGCTGCAACAGCGCGAGGGCGCAGCGCTGAAGCAAGAGGAGGACGCGCCGTTGCCGCCGCCGCCGCCGCCGCCGTTGCCCGAGCGAGCCCCGCGGCGGCCGCCGTGTCCCCCGCCGCGCCCCGTCCTCCTGCACCGCCTATGGCAGAGCCCGTGGGCGGTCCCCAGCAACCGCCGAGCAGCCGCGACCAACGAACGGCGCGGCTGTCAAAAAGACAGCGTCTTTGGCCAATAGCGCTGGAGAGGCGGTTAGGTGCATGATGGGCGGCTGCTTTTCTCCAATGAGGACTGGGGGCGTGGGTGGGCGGAGCCGGAAGTAGAGCCCAACCGAGAGGCGCCTTGTCCGGCTGGGGCGGAGGGAAGGGGGAGGGAGTAGAGGAGGAGGAGGAGGCGGAGGAGGAGGAGGTTAGCCCAGGCAGCTCCGGCGGCGGCGGCGGCGCAGGGGCTGGTACGCGCTGGGCGGCGAGAGCCTCATGGCGGAGGAGGAGAGCGATCAGGAGGCCGAACGCCTCGGGGAAGAGCTGGGAGCCATTGTGGAGCCCCCGGCGGGCCCGGTCGGGCTTGGCTGTGCCGGCGCTGGCAGAGTCGGCGGCTGCGGCGGCGGCGGGATCAGCAGTCGGGATTACTGCCGACGCTTCTGTCAGGTGAGGCGCCCGTCGGCCGCCCGGACTTGTCACCCGGCTCCCGGGCCTCCTCCTCGCGCGTCTCCCGGCCTGGTCGTCCGCAGCTCCTAGCGCCGTCCGGGGTCGGCTGCACCAGTCCCGGCAGGAGCGGGGTCGTGCAGCCCCGCCGGCGTCTCTGCCTTTTCTGGTTCGGGGTTTGAGGGGGTGGTGGGGGGGTGGGGAGGGAGAGGGCGTGGAGCAGGACGAGGGTGACCCCGCAGGCTTCGGGGTGGCCAAGAAAGTGAGAGTTGGTCGGGCCGTGGGGGTGGGGGCGAGGGGTCAGCTGGCCGGAAAGCCCGGTGCTGACACGCCTGCTCCTGCCCCGCGCAGACCCCTTCCTGTCCGCGGGTCCCTCCCACCCGGCCCCTCCGCACTTGCTCCGTCCGCCCTATTGCCCCTCGGCGGGGACCCTGGCTGCGCACCCCTCCCCCGCCGCGGGGTCCCTCCGTCACCCCGTGTCTCTGGGGACCCCGCAGGGCCGGGGCTCCGGGGGGCTTGGGTTGACTTTTATTTTCGGGCAGGGGTGCGTGAGGTTTAGGGGGGTTGCTGAAGGCGGATGGTTGTCATCTCTGATTTCCTGACGCTCCTCCCTGGAGACGCGCACTCTTTTCTAATTAACTGCTAATAGAAAAAGTCGTTTTTCTTCAACTATTACTCCGGTTACACCCCTGCCCCCCCCCCCCCTTTTCGTTAAATTACCATGTATTTTTCTTAGCCTGTGACGGTGAGTCGATTACTTTGCTCAGTCGATTACCATTAGGATTTGTCGCACTTTGACGCGTTTATAATCGAGTCTTATAGCACCGAGGTACTTGTTTAGGGGTAAAGTTTGTGTGGTCTGCGTTCTTATCTACCTGCGTTTATAATCTGAACTTTTTTTTCTCATTCGCCACACAGTTGTTTGGGAGAAAGGAATTAACTTTTCTATCGTTCCACTTCAAAACAAAACATGTTAAGCTTGGATGCAGTAGAGTTCAAATCCCGGCCCCACCACTTTTTAGCTGTGCTATTTTGGACAAATTACTTCATGTCTCCGTGCCTGGGTTCCCTCTGCTCTCATAGTTGTTAGCGACAGGGGCTTGTCGGGGTCCCTTTGGCGCCAACTCCGTTCTGGGAACAGGGATGAGATACGTTTTCACAAATGAGTGTCACAGTTGCTAGCTGGCTTGGTGTTGCTCCTTTAAAAGGGTGGGGTTGATGTATTAGTGTGAATTCTTAACTCTACAGTTTAAATTGTCTTTTGATTTCCCTGGTGTGGGATGAGTTGGTGTGGAGGTTGACGTTTTCCAGGATGTGTTCATTTCTGGGGCATTGCTCTCCATTTAAACACTTTCTAGAAAATGTGTGTTAATAATTATTTACTAGAAAGATTCAGTGTCGCACTTTCAGGGCAATCATTTTCTGTGTTTTACATCTTGAAGCCATGCTGAGAGACTTTTGTACCTGTTGGAATTTAACACTTCAGAAAATTAGGGTAAAATTGATGTTTTTAACATTCAGGTGTGGAAAATTATTTTTATGTCATTAATGAGTTGCTTGGTTACGGTTTGTTAATTTACATGATCCAAATAACCTTATTGCTGAAGAGCTTGGAACTTTATTCATCAGGCAGAACACCTTTGGAGAACTTTTAGCTTGGATTAATTTTAAGCGCACTTAAACAAATTTAGTTTATGATAAATATTGCGTGAAGAGGTACAGGGAAATATTTTTAGAACTCATGGAGTTGATTATTTTATACAATCTCACTGCCTCCCGTGTTTCCAGGGGCTAAAGCTAAGGAAGAGCCTACCGAGTTTTCCTTTGTATTGCTGAGGCGGGAGAGTGCCACTGACATTCTTTCTTGTTCCCAGCTTTTACTTCACACCTGATTCTACCTTGTAGGTTCTCTCATAAAGTTCTTTTTATATTTAAATATTTAGCTTCCTAAGATTTGCTGAGGGTTATGTTAAGTAACTTGCGTTCATTAATAAATTACTTAGTTGTGAGTAATCGTAAAATAGATAGTAACAACTTGGATGTAACAATTGTGGCTAGACTCCAGTTTCTTTTCCTCCTTTAGGAGGGAAATATGAATCCAGGTTTCCCGTGGTTAGTTGTGTGGATGAAGGGAGGGGAGGAGCCCTTCTCTGGGAGTGGGGTGTCGGTGTCTCCTAGCACAGGGAAGGGACCACAGGAGATGCTGTGTGGGGCTGGCCTGCTGGGCCCTGTCCCCTCAGCCTTGCCTCCTGTTGGTAACCTCTCTGTAAATGGCTTCAGTAGATACGTTCTGCTTTGGACAGCAAGCAGTTCTACTGGAAGGCAGCTTGAAGTTACAAATAAAAAACTTAGTTATTTGTGAGTTTTCTTTTATAAGGTGAGTTTTCTTTGAGGGGTGGGGCAGCAAGAGGTACAGAGGGGAAAATATTCCTGGAAGTACTCAAGAAATCAGGGCTGAAGCTGGAAAGGTTATTCTTTCAAGATGCCACAGTGTAACAGCTGCTCCAGGAGAGATCTCTGCCCTCCCTCTCACTTACTTGCTAGAGGCTCGGGACATGTTCTCAAGTTTGAAGGTTGTAATATACTTTGTTTTGAAGGTTGTAATATACTTTGTTTTTGGCACAGTACATGTTAGAGGATTTTTTGTTTGTTTTTTGGGTCATAGATTATAAATTGAGCAAGCTATAGAACTTAGTGCCAAAATTAATACAATGAATATTGAAACACTTTGCTGCGTTGATTAAAGTAGATGTTAAAATTATTTCATACTACAGTGGGCTTAATGGCCAGTCAGTGAAGATGTTATGAGTATTAAATGAGGGAATGGACATAAAGTGCTTAGTACTTGTCTAGCACATGGAAGGGCTTAAGTAGACACAGGCTATTAATATTTCTCATGTGAAATCCTCTGAGTGTTTAAGTAGAACATTAGAGATAATCTCTAGGCAGTTTATGGTTTGTATTCCAAAGTAAACTTTAGAAAAGTTTATAGATGTTCCAATTCTGCATTTTGTCACTTAAATAGGAAAGCCAGATACTGCTGCTTGAAGCAGTATAGGACCATGGTTTGTGTGCCGGGGTCTCAGAGGTTTCCCAAGGGGACAGCTGGCAGTCTGGACATACTTTTGAGTGCTCTGCTGGCGGGAGGAGAGTTTGCTGCTGCCATCTGCTGAGGAGAGGCCAGAGGTGCCAGTGAGCATGCTGTAGTGCCAGGAACCCTGCCCCAAACCAGCCGTGCCAGGGTGGAGGAACCTTGCTGTGCTCTGTGCTGTGCGGTTCTTAGTAGGCACTTTATATGTGTAATGCCTGGACTGTGAAACATATCCCTAAGTGGCAGTTTTGAAAGCCAAGAAAGGATTTACTCTTAATTTAGAGTAACTCATGTTTAATTGCTCTGGTAAAAGCATTCCTTAGCTCTTGTTCTTGGTATACGATTTACAAGTAAAAACTTGTAAATCCTGACTTTTTTCCTAGGATTTCAATATCTTTTTAATGCATTCTTGTGATTAATTTGAATTTCTCATGTAAAGATGTCTTGGATAGCAAAAGGATGATATGTAACCTTATCACCATCATGCAATCATTTATTCCTTCTTAAAAATCTCCCTTATCATTGCAAGTTTGTCTTGTGATCCGAAATAGTTGCTGGAGTTCCAGCCATCGCATCTGACTTCCAGGTGGCAGGAACAGGGTGTACCAAAACAATTTACCTGAGTGATTCTGAAGGTGTTCCATTTACAAATTGTTAGCTATCTACATTTGAATAAAGTGTTAGGTTTTTTTTTTGTTTTTGTTTCAATTTCAGGTTTTTTTTTTCAGATAATTGAATGCTTGATTCTATTAAATGGGATTGGATGTAATGGTGACAGACCAGCTTCTCTCTCTCTCTTTTTGTGGCAGAGTTCCTAGTAAAAAGAGCAGTTGTGCTCTCTCTTTCCTCCTCCTCCAGAGGCGAGTACCTGGAATGGTTAGCTCCCTGGGCTTCTGCCTCAGTGTTTGCAAGACTTGCTTCCCTAGTTGCAGGTATCCTGGCTTCCTTGGGGAAGGAGCCCATTGTTTTGTTAGGGGAGGGAGATTTGCAACTGATCTTTCTATTTTTGACTCTTGCTTTCACTTCCATTTTTAGAAGTATTCAGTGCATCAAATTCTTGAGATTTGCCGGGGTTCTGGGGTTCCTCAAGCGCGAATGGGCCTGTTCCTGATCTTGCTCTGATGGCCTGGCGCTTAGCTTCTCAGGTTGTTAAGTTGGTTACCATTCACCCAGCTGTGGGCCAGTGCCCAAATATAGGCCTCTCTCCTTGTCATTCCTTTTGTCCTTGTGAGCCCAGTTCCTTCATAATAAAAATACTTTTAGTTTAGTGCCTTTTTCATGTGGAACAGAAGTAAATGTGTGATCTCCCTGCTACATTTAACTACAAGCCTCAAATTAGTTTTCTAATTCT